AAAAAAAAAAAAAGTGCTCTGGCAATTGGGGAAAATGAGAAATTAATGGCTACTGATTACAGTAGTGAACTAGATTTTAATTGCATGCACATCTTACACTTACATGTAAGAATGACAATCTGGCTCCTTTAGTATTTAGTGAGCTGGCTGCAGCTGCATTTGAGTACCATTTGATCCAACTCTTATGCTAGAGCTATATCTGAGAGCCAAATGGCACTGAGGCTGCCTTCCACAACCAGCTGGCAGCAGGAGGATGCCATGCTGTACACTGAGCCCATGGGACCTTCTGCCACAGTCAGAGCTCTGCTTAGGGGGATAAAACACACCGTGGGAAAAGTGGGATAGACATTTATATCTGTTCCATGAGTGAAACAATAACTACAGAAATATGGTTTACCTTCTTAAAAATCCTTAGAGGCAGGAAGCTCTTTAAATAGTTCTGTTTTTCTCTGCTATTTAATGTGTGGAATCGTGATTTTCTGGTCTTTAACAGAGATATTTGGTTCTCATGCAAGTTAAAAAAGAATAAAGAGAAGAATGTGATTTTCAGCAAAATCACAGTAATTGAGCTGGGAAAGAATCCACACGTCTTAATCCACATGTCTCATTCTACGGATGGAAAAGCTGAAGTCTGGGTGGTTTAAGAATCACGGGTCTAGTTAATGTTAGAGATTCATGGACATCTGGGCTGATATATGTCCAGCACCCTTCCCCTCTTGGGAAAGCTGTTCCTTCCCCAACTCCAACAGTGTGGGTGTGGTGGGGCTCCCATCCTGAAGGTCTTACCTCACTCCTGCCCCATCCCAGAGGTGGGCTATGCCCTAGCCCTGACAATCAGTCTTAGCCACCAACCACCTTCCTGATCACAGCAACTGGTTCAAAGTGAGCAGGTGACCGAACTAGAGCCAGTCTGTGTCCATCCCTAGAACTTTTCATGCTGAAGCTTGGAAGGAGAGTCCTCTGCTCACCCTTTCCTTTTTTTTGGGGGGGGGGGGCAGCTGGCCAGTATGGGGGTCCAAACCTATGTTAAGTGAAAAATGCAAGGTTTTTTTAAAAAATGTAATTTGCTAATGCACATCTAAAAGAGGATAGAGGGGGTTGGCCTGTGGCTCACTTGGGAGAGTGTGGTGCTGACAACACCAAGTCAAGGGTTAAGATCCCCTTACCGGTCATCTTTTAAAAATATATTTTTTTTAAAAAGAGGATAGAGGGAAAGACATGAATATATGTAAATACTGACTTATATTTTTTAAAACTGAAGGATACACCAAAAACTTTTTTTTAAGTGCTTAAGTGAAAGTGCAGGAAGAAGGGAGAGAAATAAGAACTAGAGATCAACAAATATACCTGTTTTGTATACTTGACTTTGGAGTCATGTAACAATTTTACATAATTTGAAAACAAAATAATTATTTTATATGCAGTCTTAGATATTGAAATATTGAATATACCTAGTGGATGGCATAACTCCATATAGAAGAACTATTTCAAGTGACTTTAAAACATGAATTTGACTATACATAGCTTTCTGAGGAAAGGACACCACAACACCTATCAGATATTCTCACTCAAAAAATTGAGCCTAAATCTGATGCAGCTTTTAGATCTAACTTCACTTTCCAGGAAATACAGGGAGGGGGAAACATGACTAACATCATCATGGGATCAATTGGCAAACTCTTCAGGGAAAATAAGCTATTTCTTCAACAAATAAATTTCAAATTCAAAAAAAAGAGTAAAACTAGAAATTGTCCCACTAAGATCAGGAAGAAGGCAAGGATGTTCCCTCTCACCACTTCTTTTCAACATCATAACTGGAAGTCCTAGCTGATACAATAAAACAAGAAAAGGAAACAAAAGGTATACTGATTAGGAAGGAAGAAATAAAACTGTCTTTGCTCACAAATGACATAACTGTCTATGCAGAAAATCTGAACAAATTGACCAAAAAATTACTGGAATGAATAAGCAATTTTAGCAAGGTTTCAGGATACAAGGTTAATATGAAAGTCAATCATTTTCCTATATACCAGCAATGAGCAAGTGGAATTTGAAATTAAAGATACAATACCATTTACATTAGCATCCCCAAAAATGAAATATTTAGGTGTATATCTACAAAATATGTACAAGACTTATATGAGGAAAACTATAAAACTCTGATGAAAGAAATCAAAGAACTAAATAAATGGAGAGATATTCCATATTCATGGATAGGAAGACTCAATATTGTTAAGATGTCAGTTCTTCTCAACTTGATCTATAGGTTCAATGCAATCCCAGTCAAAATCCAGCAAGTTGTTTTGTGGATATCAACAAATTAATTCTAAAGTTTATATGGATTATGCAAATGATTGTGAGAAAAAAAAAAAAAAGAAAGGAAGAAAGAAAGAAAGAAAAAAGTAAAGTATGTAAGGAGAGACAAAAGACCCAGAATGGCCAAAACAATATTGAAGAAGAACAAAGTTGGAGGATTGACACTACCCAACTTCAAGATTTACTGTAACACCATGATATCAAGACAGTGTGGTATTGGCAAAAGAACACACAAATAGGTCAATGGAACAGAATAGATAGCCCAGAAATAGACCTACATAAATATGGGGTACTTCAAAAAGTCCATGGAAAGATTTATGCTCTCTTTTAACTCTATTTTTCCATGAACTTTTTTTTTTTTTTTTTAAAGATGACCGGTAAGGGGATCTTAACACTTGACTTGGTGT